AGTGGACCCCCTTGAACGTGTCTCCGCCTTTGGGGACTTCCTTGGACATCTGGCCCACGACAGGCGGGAAGATCCGAAGCCCTTCCTTGATCACAGCTTGCAGGTACGGCATGCTACGCGCTTCTGCTTCTGTGATCACGGGCCACAACGGCTTAGCCAACTCGATTTCCTCACGAAGAGCGGTGGATACTCGGGGGCTCGTGATGATGTGAAGGAGCATCGCCCGAATGGCGGTCGCCGTTGTATCGGATCCAGCTAGACTAGTGTTCAAGAACGTCAGCCAGCACCACGGAGGCTCGGGGGTTCGTTCATCTGCATAAGGATCTCCGATGACGCTTCCTGCTGGGTCAGACCGTGAGCTACGAAGGAGCCGAGCATATCTTTCCTGATCTTCTTGTTTGGACCGAAACGTGCCGCGGCGACTTTTTGGGCGATCCTGCCAGTGCAACGCACGATTATCAGCACTGTCGACAGTGTCAAAGATGTCCCGAGAGGGGGCTCAAAGTGAGTGCTCATGACACGAATCCGGCAGTCATTCCCTCACGAGACACGTACCCGATCGTCTTTCCGATCCCTATGGCATCCTTGTCAGAAGGTAATAGACACCGAAGCAAGGGCGAAGAGAGCAGGGCCAGGAGCCAAGGTAGGACTGCTGCCAGCACGACGTTTGGCATGTTCTGCTCCGATGTGCGGATGTACTCATGGACGTCCGAGTCGGAAGCCACATCGCCAAACGGCTCACCAAAAGCAAGGTCCGAGATGACGTCGAGGGTGAAATGTTGCGCTTTCAGACCGAAGTCGAAAGCCTTGTTCTCGGAAACATAGCGGTCGAGTAGATCGATAAGACGAAGAATGGTCTCGTCCACTTTTCCTTCGAGGTTCTCAACTTCTTTGCCGGAGTACTGAGAAAGCCGGTTAGGTTTCCCAGAGCAACTGGGCCAGTTCGCGACTTACTCCAGCAGCCATCCGGGATCGCAGCTGGGCGTGTAACGCCTCGTCCCTCATGGACAATACATTATCCCTGCCGGGATCGAGCCTCATGGCATCGTACCAATCCGACCGCCTTTATTTGGTACGCACGCCGAGCATGTGCTTCATGAGGTCTGGGTCGCTCGTGATCAGATCCCTCGGCCCGACACGTACAAGAGATCCTGCGATGTATGTAAGACGTTCGGGGGCCCTCAGAAGCGGTATAGGTCCCAACATACCATATTTCTGGTAGGCCTCGTAGAACTCAAGATGCCCCCTCCCACTACGCAGGGCGCGCACAAGCCACCATTTGGTAAATACTGCGCTTGGGGGGCCCCTGATGTGCTTCAGCCGTGCGTATTGACGTGCGATAGAGGCGATGCCATAGAGAACGATGATCGAGACTGCCGCGCTCGTGTACACCTCATAGTCGCGCATGATGAGGTCTGCTTGGCACCAGTGGGCTATATCGGTGGTTTCAGTGGGATCTGCAGACCATCTCCGTTGTTGATGGGTTTAAAGAAAAGGCAGAAGATGGATGGAGTCATGTTATAGGCCGTGTCAGAGCAAGCGAGAAGATGGGTGGAGTTCGGAGTAGAGGTACGGTTCTCTCTAGGCGCGAGCGGGCAAGAGAGACAGCTATTGCTGAGCGTTAGTCGATTCTGGCTTTCTGATATCCGGCCTTGGGGCCGATTGCCACTGGCCTACTTCACAATTTGGCGATTTACAGTACATATTGTGTCTTCACAAACATATTCAATAGTCTGGGATGTTGAATGGAGTGGTCTGAATGGGCTGGGTTGGCTTTTGGCAGCTGATCCAATTCTCATGTTCCTCAGCAACCTAGGCCAATTGAGATTACGCAAAAAGCCTCCTTTATAAGATAGCCGTAAACCTCTTGCATCCGTAAGCAATGATGCTTCAATGGGGTTTGAACATGCTTCAGGCTGGATCTCACGTGCTGGAGCGAGCCCTGACAGAGGCCGACCCTGGGACGCAAAATGAGACGTCATGTCGCGAACTTGACAAGGAGCAATCGAGACGCCGCCGATCAGGCTCTGCTCGGTCTAAAGTCGGGATTCTAGTGACCAAAATCGCCTTCACGTGTCTGAGAACAGCGTCAATTGCTCCTGTCGAGTCGGTGCAACAGCCATGTCTGACGTCGCGCCAATGAAGCAGGAGCTGCCGTTCCTTATTTATAGGATGTGATTTCGGTCCACGGTAACAGCACCGATTCCGGCCAGGAGCGACACACAGTTTTTACCAACCCCCCAGCTGTAAAGAGCATACAAACGCGGGGCATCCATTATATAATATTTCGCGATCAGCCAGCCATCCACGTCTCGCGTAGTATCGTCAACAAAAATCTCTCGTTCCAAAGGTGATGTGGTGTATGTTCTCGGAAAAGGAAATCTCATCATTTCACTGATGAGTCCCCTAGTCTCTCTCACAAAGAACGATATGCCGGACTCATCGCACAGTAAGTGCTCTGTCCTCCGACATCCGGCCGAGCTTACTGCTAAAACCACGTAGAGATTGCAGAGGTTGCGCGTCTGAGGCGCTCATACCCAACGCTGAATCTCGCAACGGCGGTTTCTGGCATCACTGCTGCACTCATGTTGGCCAATCGATCATCGACAACCAAGTCGGTCCTGAGCGACATGTCAACATGCCTCCTGGTTGGGTCGATTATCACGGCGGCGTTTACAGGAATGGTCACGATTATGCTTTCGTTTGAGCTCCAGCGCGTGCAAGAGACTACCAGGGTACGCCAGGCGATGGCTTGGGTACCTATCTTCTTCTTTGACCTCATGGTGTTCGAGCTTGTCATGGGTCTAGTCTTTTGGTTCACAGCCGAACATGCCTAGCAGTATGCCGCCGTTCTTGGCTTGCTATCGGGATCACTCTTCATGATCGCGGCAGCTGTAGCTGTTTGGGTCACGTTATCAGCAAGCTTGCACGCTTGTTTGCGAACGCGAGAGGAGACAGAACCGGAAGGCTGACGATGCGGGCTTTCAGTTAGACATCTACCTTCAGTTTGATGCTTTGATGGACGCTGGGCAGTTACCACGTAATTCCCAACTGCAGCCTCATAATGATAAAAACTCCAAGGTCTTTCCATCGCGCAGCACATTTATGCGGGTTGGTTCGTCGGTGTGTTTTTTGTGGTTCTGTGATCGTCGGGTTAGACAGTTCGACCGCAAGTAGACCCGCAGTTCACCTTTTTTGTCCTACTACGGAGAATCAAATCTTATGTGATGGGGATCGTAACAGTGATTCATCACTTTAGGTGATCGAGCAGTATCAAAAGATATCTCCTCTGGCGATATCTGGATGGGCCTTTCCCGGGCAAACGACATCATCTCGAATGCCAGCATATTTTACCACGGGTATCAGGGAACCTCTCGAGCGGGTAGATAGAGACTACTCATGTCCTCTCGAGGCCATGCAACATTATCAACTCCATCCAACTCATGTCAACACTCTTTGTTACAGCCTGACCCTCCATTTCGACTTCCAGCTCTGAGACTCAGCATGAAGCCGTTTGCGCGTATCGGTGGTAGTAGGATTACTTTTCAAAGCCAGACCACGTCTTCCGCACCCTCACCACATGCAGCGACTCCGACTTCCGTTACTCCTACTCCCTCGAAGCTACTCCCGCTCCTTGAACTACCACTGGACATCGTCTTCGTCATTTTCGACCTCTGGAAATCTGATGATTTTGAGAGCGCACTGAACATTCCCCTCTCGAGTAACTTCTACAATGGATATCCATCCCATATATCTTCAGATCCATCAACTTCTGAATGAATAGAACCGAAATCTATCGCTTCTTACGAGATATCAGAGGGAACGAAAAAGTCCTTCTAGTAGTCAGGTAACCGCAAAAGCTTCTGTTGCACGAGAGGACACCTGAGGCACTGACATCTCCCCAAGGTCTTCTACCATCCGCATGGAATGCGTTCCGGAAGCAATGAATGAGCCCTTCGACAATGCAGCTCTCGTGCTTTTTGCTAAAGTCCTTTGCTGTATGAACGGCCTGAAAGAATTAATGCTTGATCTAGTCAAAGGCGAATCGCTGTTTGCCGATGTATTCCACGCCAGCTTACATGGAAGGACCTTGCCTTTGGTAAAGCAATTTTGGTATCGGGCAGCGAAAAACCCTGATAGCAGCTCGGAACTCGTTTCCTAACGCCCATCGATCTAGTCTTGTCGTCTACAACATAGCAAAATCAGCGTCCGTTCTTTGGGATCTTTCCCTGCACCCTCATCTGAATGTCCTGGAGCTCCAGAAACACGACTGGCCTCTAAGGGACGTACAAGTGGTGGTGGCTCTTTTTCCCAGTGTCCAGCACCTGCTACTGAAAGGTGGACTAGTTAGGGTAGGAGTTTCGGTACGAATCCCGCTTTCAATGTCGGTAGAATAATTGCCGGATACTGATCGAACGATCGAACGCAGGAGCTTATCCTAGCCATCAGACGGCTTACCAGGCTTCAGAAGCTTGCCATTGACACCGAGCAGGATGTTCCGTTTCCACCACGTCACTTGGAGCCGCATGAACTTGACGACATCATATCACAGATCGAGAATCATCCGCTTAATGAGAAGCCACGTGCCAACGCTTTGAAGCTCTTTCAGCCGTGTCATAGCCTGCAAAGAGTATTTTTATCACCTAACAGGTTTCGTCCGGTCAGGAAGCCTGGGAAGAGGCTTCGTGCAAAATAAGTAGCTCCCGACTGCCAATATATGTGTATTGGGTGCCGAATGTGGATGGGTATCCTCAGAACTGCGAGACGACGAAACTGAGACAGGGTAGGTTTGAGCGTGTCCGCGCCGATGCATCCGATCGTAATCTCGTAGACTATTGACTCATGGTCCGAACGTGACCATTCTTCCTCGACAAAGGCGTGCCTTCATATATTACGATGATATCTAGCGCAACTGCCCTTCACCTCACCAGAATCAGGGCATCTGCTAGAATTCCTTGGTCGTGAACGAAGGGATAGGCGGCCAACAAAGAAAAAGCGACAGTCTCCAGATGTGCAGAAACCATGTTGTAAAAGGGAAAGGAGACGTTCTCACGTTGTTTCTGGTCGGTGAAACATTCCTCAAGCCGTGGCATTTGCTTTGTTGTTCGACATCACGGCAACTCCCCAAATAATATGATCTGAATAATGGCTAATCATCCACTTCTACTTGTGGTGTGCATTGTTCGTCGACGCTTCTCGGACTACGACAGATGAGTTTCGTATCCATGCGTACTTTAGCTAGGGAACGCAGAAGACCCGTCGACGATTCCTTCTGTGACATTCAGAATCTGAGCAAATGCCGAGCGGTGCCGAGAGACCATAGCTTCGAGCAGCTCCAGTTGCTTTTCTGTTTCTTTAAGCTGATTTCGAAGACCTTCGCACTCAATATTGGCGGCCTCGAGCTTTGCTTCTGTGTCTGCCTTGGCTTGCTTCTCTCTCCTCGCCCAGTCGTCCATCTCCTGAAGACTGCATCTCAACTGGTCTGTATCCCTGAGAATTTCTTGTACCTGCGTACGCAGACACTGATTCTCTGCTGCTAACTAGTTCATGTCAGCAAAAGTCAAAGAAGAAGCTAGTAAGCTCGTACGACTTGGCTCTCGTCTTCCGCGTCGTCTACGCGAGCAGGGACCGCCTGAAACAACGTGCCGATTCCCGCGCAGATCTTCTTGTACACGCCGACTGAATGCGTACTAAGGTTTTTCTCAAAGAGCGGCGCAATGGCGAGCCGACAATCCCACGCGTACAAATCATCTTCTGTTGTCTTGAGACGTACTTTGGAGTCCTCCACAATAACACCAAGACGCTCGTCAACTAGTCGTTAGTCCAGAAGCAGTGTTAGGGTCACCGAAAGTCTCACAAATGTGTTTGGCGAGTAGGTTTCTGCATTTGCTGTTCCACGCTTGGCGTTCAATATTGCTGGCCTTCGGCGGCATGTTTCTGTCTTTCTGGCATCGACACAGTGCTCGCATCTACACAGTAATCAGGATTTGTTGCGTAGAACAAGAAGTTAAGTTGCTTCCCGAGCCGAGGCTCTGAGCGGATGTGCACTTTGTCGGGGGCCAGATTAGGCTGTTGTGAGAGGCACATTGTGGCTTTGGTTCTTGATCCTGGGAAAGTGACGGCAACGCACACTGTCTAGGTTGCAACGTCTTATGTACCATACCTCACTATCAATCTCGCAAGTAACTTGAGCTTATCAGACGCCAAGAAGATGATTCGATGATGCTAGAGATCGAATTTTTGTTCTGTGAGTGGAGGATCGCGTTATGCGAACGAAGCTAAGCTTTCCAGCGATTTTTCAGCTGGATGAACGTTTACGGCCATACGATAGTAAGTATCAACTCTCACGGCCCAAAGACTGATTGCTGCATGGAAGTGGATATTTGCGGAGGTGTCTGGAAAGTTTT